GCCACCAACTGTCCTACTGCTATGAAACTTAGCTTTATGGAAACTGGAACAAATGGGGAAAACACTGGTACCAATTAGAGATAAATTACTGCTCCCAACTAGGCAGAAAATGACAAAAAACAGGAAAGAAAAAGATCGCGAAAATCGTTGTTACTACTTAGCTTAGCTTTAGCATGTTTTTAGCATTATCTTACATATTGTATTAAACATGGCCCACTCACTAATTCCCTTTACATAAAACCATACCACTAAAAAATACACACCTAAACACTTGAATCAAAAAACACAAAGTAATCTTACCTTTGATAAAATGTCGCCTCTGGCTGGGACAGCTGATGTGTTTGTTTTCCAAACCAAGTGAACAGACTATAGCTCTAACTCTGAATATTGCGTAATAGCGGAAAGGCGGACTTTTTAGGCAAAGTGGGCGGTTCGTCCGAACCCCTCGAACCTCCCCTGGCTACGCGTATGCTGTGGGGGGACCACAGACGCGACCCGCAAAGCCGGAAGCCGACATAAGGGAGACCAGTGCCAAAGACCCCGAGAGTGACCCCAAGCACGGTTGTGCCTTTGCCCGCCGGCGCGCTTGTGGCTCTCGTTGTCCGGGGCTGGGTGGTTGGGCGTGTACCGGCTCGGCCCGGTGGCTGCCCGGTGGGGCTGGGGTCCCTCTGGTCCTATCGGGCCTTGGCCTTGGCCTGGGGGTGGGGGTGGGGGGGGTGCGGCCTGAGGGCCCAGGCCTCTGTGTCTGTGCCTGGATCCACTCTGGCGCGGTGGGTACCGGCGGGGCCTGTGAGTTCGTCGCTGCTGGCCCCAGGGGTTGCTGTATGTGGTCACTGGTGGGGCTCTTCCGGTCCTCTCCGGTGGTCCTCTTTGTGGGGTGGGTGGGCGGCCCTTCTGGCGCGGGTGTCCCTAGGGGCTGCGTGCTTGGGCTTTTCTTTATTTACTGAGAGTAAGTAAACATCACACTAACCAGATAATTAATTCACCAGATAATCCAGAAGCGGTCTGTTTGATGAGTTTCACATTCCAGGAGCTGCGAGCTGACGAGGCTCGTTTTCAGATCTATTTTTGTCCAGAGCTCAATTTAACACCGTGGCCAGTTTAACAAGCAGCTGACCCGCATCAGTGCTGATATCTCCAGCCAGAACACCAAATACAGATGGTCAATTTCAGCTAAAGGGCTCCTGTCCGTCTGTTAGTGAACAACATTCAGGAAATGGTCACGTGGAAAAATGCACCGCTAAGTCACAGAGCAGAGTGTCTCTGATTGTTTGATGAGGCGCATCTAGCAGCAAAAGTTCAGATTTTTGAACTTGAGCGTTGGCTGCTTTGGATGCGCCGCATGCACATCAAATGCCCAAACCATGCATTCCACTTCACAAAGCACCAAGCTAAATGCGCTAGACGCACCGCAAGAACCTTAGACGCACATCCACCATAGACTTTGCATGTAAACCTGATGCTCCTGCTGCTCAATACGCGTTGTGTGAACCAGCATTACAGATGCCCCAAAAGACATACCTGCTTGGATCATTCCGATGCACAAACTCCTGGCAACTCAAGAATAATTCATTTTTTATTATATAAAGTAGGGAATAAGTAAGAATAAAAAGGACAACAAAAACAGTAAGACCTTGATTGAAACCCTGTAGACTTG